AGATTCGAACTCAGGACTTATCGGTCTCGGACCTGTCGGTTCAGTGGTCTATAGGTTAAGTGCTCGTGCGCCAGACCGATAGGTCCTAGGTTCGAAACGTGAAAGGCAGGATCATGGACGTGCAATGCTGTGGAGTACAACAATAGGACGAAATGACCGTCCAGTGCTTTCAGGTTTTTCATGATGGTCTAGCTTCAATTAACTCATGATCTCAACTATTGTAATTAGTAAATCTTTTTTAATGAGTTTCTTTGTTAAAACCTTAATCTCAATCGTTCACTTAGCCACAATATGTATAAAAATAAATATATTCATACCTTTCTTATCATTTCATTTACTCCTACTTACTAAAGCAAAGTCAAATTTTATATAATCGAATGTATTCAAATTATAACGAGTGGTAGTTTACGAAGTCTACAGCATTTGTCTATATATCTTTTTTGAAGTAACAATATGGTTAGAAAATAATTTTCTTCAGAGATAAGTCTCAGGTTGAATATCACAAACCATAACTAAGTACTGAAGATCAGTTTCTTGGTTTGGTATTTCTCATCAGTACAAATTAACGAGATCACTTTGACCAGAGTAAAAAATCATGTTTCATGGCGAATACACTACTATTCCGTTGTCGAGTCCACACCTTAATGGTTTATATTAACTTCGCTTTTGTATAAATTGAAATGTTGACTAGACTTATTTAAATAAAAGACTATTCATTATCAGGTTAGAGAAACAATTCTCAATATCAACTGCACTATGTATTACAGTCCAGCTGGATTACACTATGTTATTGCACATTGACCACTGAGATACTGACATAGTGCTGCACCAAACTTCCCTTCTCATAAACGCCATCTATATTTTTTCCCGTTAACTTGAGGATATACCCAACCTAAGAAGATAATTATGTAATAGAATAAAAGCTAACATAAGGAAAAAAACATCTAAACTATGATATACGCTTCACTGGATGAATGTATGAATTTCAAGAAGCATTTCAAAAATAAAAACATACTAAATATGCTATACATCTGCATTGTTATTAAAGATTTTGTAACCTATTTATCACCGAAACCTTGCTGAACTATAACTGTAGTATAGAGCTTACAAAACGAAGAATCTGATACTGAATGACCCTTTTTTTATCAAAAATTTTCTTTTTCTAGTAAAGATTGGTGATTTGATAATGTCGTTGAAGTGTATTGAATGTTTACAGAGAATCGTCAAGTTATTAAGCAAACAAACTGTATGTATTTTTGTCACGTGAAAAATTATTATCAGAAGGAGTTTGTGGAGATTTTAGAAATTTCACATATTGAAATCATGAGTTAATTGAACCTAGACCACCATGGAAAACGTGGAAGCATTGGACGTCCTAGTATGGGACTCCTCAGCAGTGCGCATCCACGATCTCTCACCCCACGCGATTCGAACCCAGGACCTATCAGTGAGATATCAACTCACTGAAGACAATGGTATACGGTAGCGCAACTTCGTGGATTGGTTAAATTTATACATTAACACCATTGGATCCTGGCTCAGTGGTCTAGTTGGTTAAGCGCTTGGCACGAGACTGATAGGTCCTGGGTTTGAATCTCGCGAGGTGCGGGATCGTGGATACGCGTTGCTGAGGAGTACCATACTAGGACGAAACGGCCGTCCAATGCTTCCAGGTTTTCCATGGTGGTCTAGCTTCAATTGACTCATGATTTCAATCTGTGAAATTTCTAAAAAAATATTGCCAATTTATAACAATGAAATTCAGTTATTTTCATTCAACTTTTTAAAAATCAATTGTCTCAAAATATCAAGTATGCACATTCATTAGTATACGTAGAATCAATTTTTTTCATAAGCTCTTTATGTAACCCTAACGTGTACATACATATAAACATACTATCTGAATGCCAGACATACAATAATCAACACTGGTTATTCAAAAGTAAATATAAATAACTAAGATGATAGGTCATATAACATGTTTGTCAAACATTTTTACAACTAACCACTGGCATTAACTGTTGTGTCAGTAACTAGATGTGATAAATGTTATTTCTTATAGGTAATGAACATAGATTTTCAGTAGTAAATAATTTTTCATCCTCAATAAGATATAAGCTAGGACTATCTATCTATCTATCTATCTATCTATCTATCTATCTATCTATCTATCTATCTATCTATCTATCTATCTATCTATCTATCTATCTATCTATCTATCTATCTATCTATCTATCTATCTATCTATCTATCTATCTATCTATCTATCTATCTATCTATCTATCTATCTATCTATCTATCTATCTATCTATCTATCTATCTATCTATCTATCTATCTATCTATCTATCTATCTATCTATCTATCTATCTATCTATCTATCTATCTATCTATCTATCTATCTATCTATCTATCTATCTATCTATCTATCTATCTATCTATCTATCTATCTATCTATCTATCTATCTATCTATCTATCTATCTATCTATCTATCTATCTATCTATCTATCTATCTATCTATCTATCTATCTATCTATCTATCTATCTATCTATCTATCTATCTATCTATCTATCTATCTATCTATCTATCTATCTATCTATCTATCTATCTATCTATCTATCTATCTATCTATCTATCTATCTATCTATCTATCTATCTATCTATCTATCTATCTATATATATATATATATATATATATATATATATATATATATCACCGCCATTCTTGACTTCAAGTTTACTATAACCTCATAATGGCATGAATCTTATAAATTTTTAAATGATTTATTAACTTAATCTGACTTAGATAAGAAAATTGTATGATGAATGTGGTCGATTCAAGTTGATAATTTGATTTTCATATTAGTTTTTTTTTATTTTTGTGATAATTGAAATAAAACTTACACATAGTTCTTCAGAACTATTTAAAATACCATTTATCATTAGTTGAAATTTAGTTTTAAGTATTGTATTTATTGACTGCTTCAAAATAAGGATAAACTTCCCTCGATGATTCTTTAAAAATTGTGCAATAATTTTTAGTTGATATTGGCTTACTTAAAGATTGTTTTGACTTGAAAAGTATACGAGACGTTAAAATTTTAGTAAAAGGAAGAACTCTCTTCCAGTGTAGCAGTAGTCTCTGCATCAGTAGGCCTCAATATACACAAGGAGAAAACCAAGGTCCTCAAATTCAAAACGGAGAACAGCACTTCAATCACTCTTGATGGCGAAACTCTGGAAGATGTAGAATCCTTCACATACGTGGGAAGCATCATCGATGAACAGGGCGGTTCAGATGCAGACTTAAAGGCAAGGATTGGCAAAGCAAGGACAGCATTCCTATAATTGAAGAACATATGGAACTCAAAACAACTTTCAACCAATATCAAAGTGAGAATCTTCAATACGAACGTCAAGGCAGTTCTACTGTACGGAGCTGAAACTTGGAGAACTACAACAACCACCATCAAACATGTACAAGTATTTATAAATAGTTGTCTACGCAAGATACTCAACATCCATTGACCGGATACCATCAGCAACAGCCTTCTGTGGGAGAGAACAAACCAGCTTCCAGCTGAATTAGAAATTATGAAAAGACGATGGGAATGGATAGGATATACATTACGGAAATCATTAAACTGCATCACGAGACAAGCCCTAACTTGGAATCATGAAGGGAAGCGTGAAAGAGGAAGGCGAAAGAACACATTACATCGAGAAATAGAAACAGATATGAAAAGGGTGAATAACAACTGGGAAAGAGCTAGAAAGGATTGCCCATTACAGGGTTGGATGAAGATTGTTGGTGTGCAGCCTATGCTCCTCCACGATGAGTAACAGGCGTAAGTACGTAAGAACTCTCTTGACAAATAAATATAATTTGCTGATTAGTTATAAGTGAATAGAATAGCTGAACTCATAAAAAACATGATCTGGTGCTTTATTAATATTTATTGAATTTAGAGTTGCTTACAAAACACATCGTCACTAGATAATGTGATTTCTTAGTGTTTCATACCAGTTCTTTGATGTTTTTGAAGTAATTTTTGAAGAAAAAACGTCATTCAACTGAAGTCGCTCTGACAAACGATGCAAATAGAAATATCAAGTATGAAGATACAAGTTTTTGATAATATATCGTTGTATTAGTAAAACAAACATGAATCATTATGTCAACTTTGATATAAATATATATCAAACATTTTCGAAACTGTTTCACGTGAAGCTCTATGGTCGTTAAATACTTCCGTTTTTATATGAAACATTACTAGTCTAATGACATCATGTGTATAATCCGAATATTTCATGATACTATTATTAATATTATTTAGGGAATGTTACCTTAGTTATTAAAATATAGCAAACCATAGATACAAAAAATATATTGATTAATTGTATCTAAATTCAACCTATTTTTTTCAATAGCTGAAATCATGAGTCATCTGAACCTAGACCAACATGGAAAACCTGGAAGCACTGAACGGCCGTTTTGTTCTATTGTGGGACTCCTCAGCAGTGTGCATCCACGATCCTACCTCGTGGGATTCGAACCTAGGACCTATAATTCTCGCGCGCGAGCACTTAATTTTTAGATCACTGAGCCGGTATCCAACGATGTTAATGTTAAACTTCAATTCACGAAATTTAGTGTGTATAACTTGAAATTTTTCATCTTACTGATCTCTGAACTCTATTGTAAATTCTATTTGGGTTCAAAAAAATGTTTTACAACATTTTATAATTTTATTTAAATAGAAATTCTATTCATTTTTCAATATTTGAAATTCATTATTCATTCATATAAGATGTTTAGTTAAATACATTCGATTTTAATGAATTATGATTGGTTTAATCCATTGAAAATATTTAACTGTACTACATCATTATAAACCAGTAATATTTTAGAATTCATGACATTTTATGAAATTCCTGTCTAATGATTGGTTATATTTATCTTTTGATTATAATGCATCCATTTATTTGACTTTACAAAATAAGAACACTTATTACATATATATATATATATGTATATTATAATGCGCTTATAGTTATCAGCGTATTAGTTGCTTTGTAGTATTTACTATTTAGTGGCGTAGTTATTCCATGCTTCTAATTGTTGTGTAAATAGATTTAACTAATTTCATCATTATTCATAACAATTGTTATAACTAACACGTGCTGGGATTTGTAAATTCTTTAAATTAAATTCATTTTGGGAACTTAATATTATCAAACTTTAAAAATATATATATATATTTATTTATCTGAAATGACTCTTAATCGTCCAAAACCAAGTGCTAGTCCATCAGATGATTCAGCTGTTGGTGATATGAATAGTAATGGAACAAGTACAACAAGTAGTAGTAACGGTGAAGCATTATGTCCGGAAACTACTTCAACGACAACAACAGAAAGTTTAACTGAATCATATACAAAACTAGCACTAACTAAACGACAAACATCTCTTGTCATAGAATCTACCGCCGATTCAAATGATCCAGGGTAAGTTCATAGATTGTTAGTATTATTGTATAGAATTTACCAAAAGTAATTTTTTTTTCATTGAATTCGAAAAAAAGATTGCTGAATTCATGTTTCATGTGTATTTTAATTTAGGGATTGAAAGGTTATTTCTTTCATTCTAAATTGTTAGTATAATGCATGAATCAGATATTCAGAGAAACCTGAGTAATAGTCAAACTTATTAACTATTGTAATATTTATTGATTCTATCCAATATGCAATTGATACTCAACTACATTATGTTTACATCATCCAGGTATGGTAGAAATACGATTAACTTGTGCAATTTTATAAGGGGTTTAAGTTATATTTTTCATGCCAAATCTATTACATGACAAGGAATAATGAGTATAGGATTAAAACTTTAATGACCACTGGAACACACCTCCATTACATAAAAATTGTGTATAGTTTTATGAATATAAATAAGTCCTTTAAAAAATCTTTACATATTAAATCCTTAAAAATATGGATAATTTCGAAACTTATTTGACTAGATTCTATGTAATTGTATCTGCTTCGTTCAATCATATAATTTATTACTATTACACAATCTCTAGACAAAAGTATATCATTAAATTACTTGAATAGTAGATTTTCTTTGTAATTATGATAATTGTTCATCCAATAAACATGATATCGTTGCTAAAGTATCAGAATATGTTTGTTTTAATTAGATTTCTAGTAATTGTCATTCCACTTGAATCAATGAATAATATATAATGGTGGAAAATATAGGCTTCATAATTGATAAGAGACTACAATGATATTGGTTAAAAGTGATCTTAACAACATGGTTGCATCTATTTTATGTCTCACTCTACCTTGAAATTAATGCTCTCATACTTTTCATTATTCGATTCTGCTTATTTCTTTTGATTTGTAGTTTTTGTGCTTGAATTTCCAGTTCTGTTAAAAATATAGTTTCATACTTTGTTAAATTCTACTGTACTTAAGAATGGCAGTGGAAACTCCAAAATAGTTTACGGTTGTTTAATAATTTTATGGTTAGAGAAATTATATAAAAATGAATTAGAATGTTGATGTCATGTGTAGACAGAATCGATAGCTTATTTATCGAAATATCACTGTTACAATGGGACAGTTCATGGTTTAGATAAAATTCTACAAGCTTGGTAAATGAGAAAATGGATACTGAGATGCTCTTTATATTCATGACTCGTTGGTTAGTTGAATTCGTTTGGGATTTAGTTTTGACTGTTCACTTTTATTAGGAATAGAAATTTGACAGTTAACGAAATTACATTCAACAAATAATATATCCAATACAATCTTGTATAATTTCATCGGTGATTTTCCACAACCAGCACATGTTTGATTAACCGAATACACATCATTGTGTGACGCTGAAAACATTGTTTTCGACTCCGTTATTACGGTTTTCTTGAAAGTTTACAGGGTTATATTAGGCCAGTAATGTGACTCATTGTGAAGTCTAGCACACTTTTTCGAAAAAAATAATTATACAATCTTATAAATGTGACATATGACATCATTTTAATATATTGAATTTAGGCCAATAAAGAGTTAAATATCTTGAATCGCAAAACTTGAAAGCTGTCATGGTTATTAAACGTTATGATTGTAATGTGAACACTCAAAATAGTTGATAATCCCAATGTCGAAACGAATTATCCTGTACATATGCTGATCTATTTATGCTTATTCTCATTAATTATGTTTGATGACCGGATATGAGAAATTTGAAGAATTGTAAGCTGTTAGATTGAGTCCGTTAAAACCACAACTGTAGTCTATCGACGATTAACAAATTAAATGAGAGTCTATTGTTCAGATAATGTTTTCCTGTTTAAATCACTCTTTAAAATGATCTGGATGATGTTTTTACCGATTATATGACTTAGTAATACAAGTTAATAGTTTATTTTTTGGAGTATTTGGGGTACGGAATCATAATTATGTTGAAATGACAGGTGGATGATAAGATTTATTTGGTTCTTCATAGATTGAATGGCCACTGTAAACATGACGAACGATTTCGATAATATTTATTGATCTATAATTTTAAACCTTGCATAGAGATTATCATTTTGTTCGGTAGATAAACTTTGTAGCTTCAAATCTCAGATAATAGTGAGTAGTTAACGCCACATTAGAATTCTGAGATGGTGGAGAAGATTTGTAGCTCAGGTGGATGATTTTGGTGGTGTTTTGTTCTCTGAGCTGGATGGTTTGGTCGTGCATCCAGCTCAGAGAACAAAACACCACCAAAAACATTAGAATTCAGAAGTAAAAAACAACTATTTTGCATTGGTCCAGTAAATGGACATGAAAAGATTTGATGCTGATTGAAATAACGTTGAATACAGTCGATCTAATAATTGAGGTAGAATAATATGATAACACTAACACTAATAAATTCTCTTCAGGTTCTACAATTATATAACCAAATTAATAGTCTAAACAGTGGCCAGGTTTAAGACAAAGTATAACGTTTATAGTAATGACATGTAAATTTAGGATTGTAAAATAAATGGAAATTGAATGTTGAGATGACTAATATGCGGTGTTAAACCTGAATCAACTTATACGTTGAATGAAGTTATGAGATTCATGTTCAGAATAAATATGGATCAGATAGAGTGAGAAAAATAATAATACAATTACAAATTCGACCAAATGTTTAGTGGAAGACTATATTGTGTAATAAGTTATGAAAGTAGTAAAAAAATAATAAATCGGAGTGAGTGCTAAGTAGATTACCGGTAAGGAGATTTGTGGAGATTGTAGTATTTTCACAGTTGAAATCATGAGTCGATTTAAACTAGACCAACACCGAAAGCCTAGAAGCACTGGATGGCCGTTTCGTACTAATATGAGACTCCTCAACAGTGCGCATCCATGATCCCTCACGCGGAGCTTGAAGCCAGAGTCTTCGGTTTCGCCTGCAAACGCCTAACATCTAGACCATTGGAACCGGCATCCAACGGTGCTAATGTCTAACTTTAATCATTCCATGATCTTTGGCAACCCTTCATCAATTGTCTGAGGTGGATATCTCTCTCATATCTGACAGTGACCGACTGATCACGGCTTCTCACAAGAACTCCGGCAGTTACATCATGAGGCTAGGTTAATCATGTATTCGTTAGGTTATTAGTGACATTAGAGCAATGATAATGATAATAATACAAATATATGTGGAAAAAGATGACAAAGATGTTTATATTTGACTAAAAAAGTCTGTAAGTACTTTGGTCAAATTAGGTCATTCAGCAGTTAAGAATACTATTGATTAAGTGGCCCTGAAGTTGGCCGAAGTCAGAGAAGCTGTTGAAGATTTTTTCAATCCGAATGGCCACAGGTCCTTCCACTTTGGTAAAAAAACTGTGACCCGATAAATGATTGATAATGGTTGGCTTATACTAGTACTGTGACCAGTTCTCGCTAAGTGGAACAATATAGATTTGTTTACTTTCCTCACTAGACCTTTTCTTAGCTACTGTGGGAGGTGTTTGTGAGCACGAACGTGGGACTTACTAGAACTTCAACCAATATAACTTGCTACCTAATAGCAGTCGAATTGATAAACACGAACAAAGTGTTCATTTTAAGTAAATCATCTTTTGGCCTCTGTGTCACCATTGGGCTCGTAGAGAACACTAGTCGTAGTTTCTGGCGTTGAATATTTTTTTGTTATACGTAATCTGTGAATTAATATTTCATTGGCTCCATCCTCTCTGAATTGCAAGGGCATGAACAGGGATTTTTGATTCACTTTTTGTATTTTGCCTATCCTAACCTTCGTGACCATGTATTTATTTATAAACTTTCCAACGTATCCATTCGTCCTAAATATGTTCTTCTCGAACTATATACGTAGAAAATGTAGTAAGTATTCGATAACTATGAGTTTTGATCACTGTTTTTCTTGTATAGAGCTAAGGAAATGTGTGCACTACCTTTAATATAATATGAGTTCGTTTTTCTCATAGCTTCCTTTCAGCTGCTGAAATTCGTGTTGAAATATAATATAAAATGAAAGAATAGACCTTTAACTGCATCTACCGATTTGTATATACGTGCTAAACACATACATTGAGAGAACCAAGTCAAGAGTACATGTTTATATTTTCAAATTCCTAAACAATTTGAAATCTCAGACAAAAATTGATAACCATCATATAACTGACATTCGTCAGTCTTCAAAAACTACTAACAAACATAGAAAAACTACTTATTTACGCTTCATTAACGGAGTAGCAATTAAAAAATACAAACTGAATTAAAATGTTCAAAAAGAAACAGTTATCAATTTATCACTGACTAAAACAAGAAAAATTAATGTAGTAGAATAATATGGATTGACTAACTGGGTACCAATCACATAAGAAGTGAAAATTAATAGTTATTATCATAGAACGAAACAAATATGAATGAGATCAGTTAGTCAATTGTTTAAGAGTTACATAACTATAACAGTAATATCTCATCTCCAGATTATTCTGCTTCTATTTTCTTAGTTCTGTATTCTAGAATATTCTTATATTCAACCTAGAAATATTCACATTGTTTTACATACAGATATCTTTTACAGTTATTCCATATTTACTGACCTCTTCATTGATATACATTGATGAGAACTTTTCTGATATCATGATAGTAAGTATATAAGCTGGCTTTACAGTGATTAGTACTGTCATGTTTAGATTGTAAGCATCTGATGAGGAACCGCGAAATGTAATAAATTTGTGTTATTCTGTTATATTATTTGTTCTTGCTCCAATCCAATTCTTCACTCATTTGATGGATTCCCAAATCATAATAAAATCTCTATTTATGATTATTACTATTATTAATTATAGTTATTGTTGTTATACACTCTCTGCTATTTTTTTTCCTTTACCTGCTTCAAAACTGTCAATTCTTTCGTTTGAGTAGTTCTCTAACATCTTGTAAACTCGTTAAACCTATAATCATTACTAAATCTATTTTAT